ATCTCATATGGAATATAATACATGGGTTTTGTGACATCTGTTTTTGTTGCTGCTCCAAAGCTTTGCCTGCTTATTTCTGGTTTCAGTGTTTTATTTCCAGGGGCTAAAATCACCAGACTGGCCCCTGTGCAAATGTGCAGCAGGAGAAAGGACTGATGACTTGGGAACTGAATCTTGGAAATACATTGAAGGTCTTCACTGAAGAAATAGATAAGGAAACAATAACAGGGGTGAATAGATTTATGAATTAAATCCTTGAAATGTTTGAGTGCTTCAACAACTTCAAGATTATACAGACTGATTTTACAGTGGCAGACCTTGAAACAAATGAATACAATAGGTGAGGGAAGGACTAACTTTTCTAGTGATTGATTTCATGTGTTGATTTTTAATAGCAAAGCTGTTACTTTTGACAGTGAATGCTATTTCTTGTCAATGAAAACCTCTAGTACTAACCAAGGCTATTCCTATGGATGTAACTATGCTGATTTATGCCAACTGACCAAAATCAAATAGAAGAATGTCCATGGGTAGTGTAGAGGAAAAAACCAAAAGTACCCAGTGCCCTGATAGCCTGAGAAAGACAGAAAAACAAAGAATCCCAGAGTCTGAGGTAGAAGGAAAAAGAGAGGAATAAGTGGAATCCAATTTGAAGTGAAAGCCAGATGAGTAAAACTCTGAAAACACCAGCCTTGGAGGCTCATGAGAATTTGGCTAGAGGTATTTTACCAAGGCCAGCGAATGAAACTTACGGCTTATGAGTAAGGTCCTGTTTTCTCACAGGCCAGAAGAGGTAGGCAAAGATCATAGTTTTGGTCTGTGAATGAAATCAAGAACCAAGGAGACAGGCCTCTTAGTGGGTGCTAAATTTAGGAAGGCAGACCCGGGAAGGATTTTTCTTAACTTCTGAGTAAGACAGAGTAAATGTCTATGCTACTCTACAGGTACTGATCATGACACCATGTGTACTCGAAGAAAGCTTCACAAGGTCCTGAGAACATTCTGGCTATAGCCAGGCCACAGGGGAGAGATCATTGCTGAGGTTAAATATCCATGATCTGGTCCATAGCAGTGTATCTGGAGACTATGAAGGCAAGATTCCTAGTATTTCTTCACACATGCCAGAATTTACAGTACTAGTATAAGCAAGCCGTTTTCCATCTCCAGAATTTAATTCCCTCCTCCACAGGATGATATAAATTTCACTAAGCTGTTATAAGAGTTAAATTCAGAGTTCAGGCATTGAACTTTAATAATGGTATAAAAGTCATTTGAGTCATTATCCTTTGCTATTCTGATCCACTCTTTATAATCTGGGTCCTAGAAATGCCTATTGCTTCCGTATCATTTATTGAAAATACATCCCAGACTCTTCTCAAGCCATGAGCAGCACTCTCTGATCTCAAAGTCCTCTGTGGAAGATCTGGAGTTCTATTGTGAGCAGCAGAAGAGAGAGCGCTCTTGCAGATGAACAGGGACTCAGGGCTCTCTATGATGCCCATAGCTCTGACTCCATGGAGAGTTTTGAGGAAAGGATCATGCATTTCAGCAGTTGACTAGTTCAGAAGTATGAAAAGAAGCCATCAAAACATCTTCCAGTTTCATTTAGGAAGTAAGAGTTTCTGTTGTAGAGTTGTGACCATTGCATATTTTCAGAGTGGCTGAACCAAGACCAAGAAGTTTGTACTGGAAAAATGTCAAAATTTCTTTTTAAAATATCCCAATGGATGCAAGGAAGTTGAAAGGTAAACTGAGTCTGAGAGTACAAATCTTAGTTCCGGAGAAAATCCATTCCAGAATTTCCACATCTCGTTTTACTAGGAACTCCCTTAGCTCCAGTCCAACGTTCTTGTCACAGATGTTGTGCTCTAGCAAAAATCCTCCTTGTGGTAATCTAGAGTTGACATGGAACACACCGAAAGATGCCTGGTGCCACAGGTTCCTCTGGTCTGTGACCTTCAGATAGACTTTTGGCACTCACAAGCCAGCACAGGGGAAGGAATGGTTGAAGGCCAAAGCACCTTTACCTTCACCTTTACCTTTACCAGGTAAAAATAACTAAGACCAAAGAAGATTGTCCCTCAGACCCCTCTCCAGCTATACTTCAGGCTACTTGAAAGAATACAGGAAAATCCAACAGGTGAGAGGCCAGATGGAATCCTATTTCTCTCACTGTGAGAGAGAATTTAACCTAATATGGAGCACAGGGTGAGGCAGGAATCTGTGCTCTGGTCCTAACATTGCCCATGTTCAGCTCTACAGCTCTTAGGTGTATCACTTAACCTCTCTGTGTCTCAGTTTCCACATCTTTCAAAGGGAAATAAGAAAGTGGCTTCCTCATAGTATTGCTAGGATAAACAAAGAGATAAAATAAAATAATCCATGTAAAATCCTAATAAAAGGTAGAAAAATACTACACAAATTGTTATTATGCAATGATAAGATGTTCAACAGGCTTCACATCTTCCACCCTATCCAACCCCAGATTCAAGGGAACAAAAAAACAGAAAAAAAAGAAAGCCTTTTTTCTTATTGTAGTAAATTTGTATATCATCAGTACTTCTGTGTCAACCCAAAGTTTTCTCCAAGCCAAAGTGACAACCTTAAGAGTCCTTTTTCTGGAAGTTCAGACCATAAACAGTTGAAAAATACCAGGCCATCTGCCCTTTCAAACGTCTACATGAGCCCCAGTTCAGATGGGCCAGAAACAGATCAAAATAAGTCCTAGGACCATCACTAACTTCACTGCCAATGTGCAGCCAAACAGGAAGGCAGTGACCTTGCTACTCACAGAGCCTTGTGGTCCAATCACAGAGGAAACACAGTCATGGCTTGGATGTGGCTCACCTCCCTTCTACCACACAATGTATAGAACAGAACTGAACCTCCACAAATAAGCAACAGCATTTTTTGCATGACTACCAGTTCCACTATCAGCTGAGCACTGGCATATCCCACTCTTCCAGATGAACTACTGACATCTATAGCAGCTACATTCTTTCCCTATATCACCATCTCAATGAGCAATCCCTTGGACTAATTTACTCCACTTTCCCTCTTCAATAGCCCAACTTCTTATGTCCTCTAGCAAGTATGCTATGAACAGGACCCTCTCCTAGAGTTGGGTGCTCCCCTAGGGCACACCTCAATGACTACAATAGCACTGTATCACAATTTGTTTTTGTTGCTTGTTCATCTCTCCCACCAGACTCTAAATGTGAGACTACCTCGTCCAACAATGTATGCCCAGAACATAGCAGAACATTTGACACATACTAAGAGATTTCTGTGTTAGTCTACATAAAATGGTTTTGACACTGAATTAATACATAATGGATAACCCAACTACAAGAAGTTAAACCTCTAAGAGCCACAAAGGACCTCTTAGTTGTGCTGTCATGGCTGCCTTGATGTCTTGAATCGATTCAAAACATTTCTCTTTTGTGGTCATTTTGACTTTGGGGAAGAGTCAGAAGTTGCACAGACCCAGGTTGGGTAAATGAAACGGCTACACAATAATCTTTTTATGAGCTTGCCTTTCTACCAGATGGATCTCGGCAACAGCATTCATTACATTTGGATCACATCTCATAAAGACACTCATGAAAGAGGACTTTCAGAACTGCTTCAGAAAGTGGCAAAAACAATAGGTTGAGTGTGTTCTAAGACAGGGACAGTGTTTTAGGGGGATTAATGGCATGTCTTTTACCATAGTAAGTTTTTTTTTTTAATTTATACATTTACCATACTTTTCAATTACCCCCTGTATAGGATCTCTACGGTCTTTGTAGGGCAAACTATTTCAAATAGGATAGGACAGACAGGCATGGCCAAAAGGCCACTGATATCAGAGGCCTATCCAGACCTCAAGAGTCACCAAAACTGTTCAAGTTAACATTTCATTTCTTTTTCTTTTTTTTTTCACATTTTATTTCTGCTACTTCCATTTCTAAATTCTTATCTCAAGTGTCACTGAGACTGACTGATCTAAGGCAGGTATGGCAGTTGTGCTGCTGGGGAAGCTTGATGAGGGGTAGTACACTGAAAAACTAGCAGAGCCAGGGCTACAAGGCCAGAGGATATTGTAGGGCTGGGGGAAGAGACTAACCTCAGAGCTTCAAGTTCAGGGCCGGGTGGAAGCACCAGGAGGACTGAGGGTACAAGGCCTGAGATGGCAACAGGAGAAGTAAAACAGAGCCAAGGGGCAAAGGGATGGGCAAGTGGAGAACATGGCACAACAATGAGGTTCCAGCTTGAGGTAAGACAGGGGTGTAGTGGGAGGGAAAAGGTAGGGGTTTTGGGGATCTGGATTATTGCCAGGGTGAAAAAACACTTCCAGCAAGCAGAAAGGCAAATGGACAAGAAGTTCTCCCATACTCATCTTCAAGAGAGCTTAGTGTCCCCAGACGCTCGCTACCTCTGCAAGACATCCCTTCACCACTTGCCCAACAAATTCTACTGATTCAAATGCTAAGGCCAAGCATCCATGGGTTGTGGGTGCCACATAAAATATTTTCCCCATTTTGATTGCCGAAAGGAAAAAACTTCAGGCTTTGAATTCTAACAGATCTCAAATTAAGTAAACTTCAGCCCTCTCCTCTATTAGCTTTAGGGCCCAGACCTTCAGCTTTCAATGGTGATGCCCACCTCACACAACTGTTGGGAAGGAGGGCTAAGTGAGATAATGCTCACAAAGCACTCTACGCAGTTCCAAAGGCAGAGTATTTGATAAATTGGCTCTTTCCTCTTTCCTCTCCACTCTAAATGAAGCCCAGTAGGCCCCAATTGAAGTGCATGTGTGGGAGTAGAAATGGAGGTGAAGAAGGACCTATGCTGCTGAGTCACTAGGACAGAAGGCATGAGTCAGGGCTGTTCGGCATCCAGGGATGGAACAGAGACACTCCTCCCCCCACCCCCTCATCCTCATCCAGGTGCCTGGAGTCTCGGCTGGCAGTGGGTCCCACGTCAGGGGAAGCAGGCTCCATTAGTACCTTTCTCACCACATTCGGAGAGGAGTGCTGGACACTACTGTCCACTGGAGGGACACTGTGAGGAGTTTCTTCCCCAGGGGTCTGGGGCAAGGCAGCAGCAGTGTTCTTGTCAGGAGGGAGAGCTGGCTTTGGGCCTTCTGATGCTGGAGGCTCATCTGTAACCTAGAAAAGAAAATAAGAACTTGGGTGGTTTCACTGTAGAGAATAGCAGTAGAAGCCACAGGAAGGGTTAAGGTGGTGTCTATCCTGTCTTGCCCACTGCAACTATTTACTCATGGTTAACTGCTTAAAATGTGTTCAAAAATGAAAAGGGCTGTTAATCTAAACTCTTTGTAAAACTACCTCATAATGACAGAATCCAAACCAAGAATTCAGAGCTAGCTTTGACATATAGACTTTAGCAATCATAACACAAGTTTTTGTTTCTGCTTGTTTGTTTTTGTAGTGCTAGAGTTTGAACCCAAGGCTTTACCTATGCTAAAGTACTCTACCACTGAGCTATACTCATAGCCCCATAATACACTTTTGATTTAGATTTAGCTTATGGTCCTCTATGAACCCTAAAGCCTTCTCTGCTGTCACAGGGATTGTTCCATATACCTTCCAAGGAACTGAGCCTCAGCGGATGACACGCAGAGCATCATCTGAAGTTGTCAGTACTGAAGCATAAAAGTGAGGCCTTACATTTTTTAACAAGACAAAAGTCTACAAAACTTCTTTGAAGATATGTGATTACAGATGTTCAGGAAACAACTGTGGGAAAATAACAAGGGCTAGGGTGAAAGAGGGTGAAATAGGAGATCTGGGAAAAAAGACAAACAGGAGCTAAGCATGAAGATGTGGAATACAAAAAAAAAATATCACAGAGGTACAAACTACACTTCTTAGCTGAGAAAATAGAGGAGAGGCATTCAACATCCCCATAAACTGAGGCCTCTTCTGTAGTGTTATAGAAAACACTTAGGATCCAAGTCTTAACTCTATATCTCAACACTGTACAATCTCTAGGCAAACTGCTTGCCCTCTCTGATCCCCATTTCTGCACCTATAAAATACTGGTAGTGATACTAATTGAACAATGTTGGATAAATGACATATATAACACATGCCTAGTCTAGTAGATATGAAATAGTTTAATTCTATGTTGTGCAGTGTTATAAAAGTGCCTCCTTAAACTCTTCCCTTCCCTAGGATAAGTTCCCAGCAAGGGAGTTTCGGGGGTTACGAAGATGTCTGCATCTGCCCTAGCAATGGCAAGAGCCTAGTGTAACTTAGAGGGCACTATCTATGGACAAAGTCTCCAGTGTCATCCAGGAAGACCAGGCTGAGCCAGGTCACCCTGGAGAGCTATGTTGGAACTAGGCCCTATGATCCCTGCAGCTTTCCTGAGGCAGAGATTGAGTCCAGGGTAGTTCTGCAATTTGAGAGCTGAGCTCAAGGTCACACTAAGATGATGAAGCTGCTTCCTGTGCTGCACTATGACTGGGAAGGCTGCATTCCCTGAACAGTCCTGGGGTGGGGCGGCTCACCTGGAGGGTGTCCTCCTGGCTCTGGGACTGGACAGGTGCTGGCTGCCTCACAATGTAGTTGATCTGCCCCACAATGGTTTGCTGAAGATGCTGAGGAGACTTGGTCTGACTCAGCTGCAGGCTGGGCTGCTGGGCCTGAAGGAGAAGCTCCAAGTCCTTCTGCATCTCTTCCAGCTCAAATTTGTGGTGCATTATGTCCACATTCTGAGAACAGGCGGGCCCAGGGGGGTTCTCATGCTGACTGGAAGCCAGGTGCTGGGATGGAGGTAGAGTTGGAGCTGGTTGCTGTGGGAGCGGAGGTGGGGGAGGGGGCGGAGGGGGCAGCTGCTGCTGTGGCTGCTGCTGAAAGTGACTGAGCTTCAGCTTCTGGTGGTGGCCGAACTGGACTTGGATGGAGGGGGTCTGTAAAGTGGGCTGGGCATGGGCTCCTTGCTGAACGTCCTGTGGGGGGACAATGCACACAGGCTGGGAGGTCAGTTGCTGCCCGGGCCTCTGGGCTGTGCTCTCCTGCTCAACCGCGGGCTGAGTTTCTAGCCAGGGCTGCAGCAGCTTTGGCGGGTGAGGATTGCAGGTCACCTCCTTCTCCCTGGGCAGCAGGGTGGAGCACTGCAGGGACCCCAGATGCTGGGGCACCATCTCAGAGGGCTGCCTAAAGCCGTGGGCTGGGTGTACACTGGGTGCGGGGACCTGGCCTTTGAGTGAGGGTGAGACTGGAGAGCAGTGGGAGCAGCACACAGAGGAGGAGCACAGTGCTGGAGGCTGGAACTTGTGCGAGGGGTGGCTAAGGGCCTCTTGCTGAGCCACTGGGGACTGGTGACTTTGATAAAAGGATGATGGCCCCTGTAAGCCTCCATAAGCGGGAGTATCTATCCGGGACAGCTGTCCACCTTCAGTAGTTATGCAGCCTAGAAAGTGAGAACAGAGTTTTTCCAAAGGTAAGCACCAGTTGCTTCCCTCACCTCCTTTGCTACTTCTTGCTCCTAGGACCAAAAGACAACATGCAGCAAAGCTGTACCTGGCACAGAGATTAGGAAATTCAACCCCTGATCTCCAAGACTCAGTCTAGAATGCTGTAGTAACAGCCCTGGTATGAACTTGCTTCAGAGGTCAAGGATATTTGCTGTATTAGTTCAACTTTTACCAGATGTTCAGCCTGACTGTTTCCATCCTGCTAGGGAAACCACGGGCTCCTTCAAACTGCACCCACTCCTTTTTTTAGCACAACAGCCCAAGTGAAATTCTGACTAAAAGAATAACAATGGGCCATGGAGCAAGTATGCTGGAAACTAGCAACAGGGAGTTATTCCTGGGACAAATGAGAAAGACACGAATCACAGGAACTGTATACTGAGCAAGGAAGATGGAAGCCATCAAGGAAGCTCCCATCACAGATACCAGCAGGTCTCTGGACCCCTTGTGCATGAGAAAATGACATCTACTGCTGACTCAGTCTAATGGCTCCTTCACCTCACTGTTTTGATGAGGCTTCCTCGGGGGAAGACTGAGCTCCTGAAGCAGAAAGGCTGTGTTTCGTTTACCTTTGTCCCTAAAATAGGGGGCAAAACCCAGATCAGGGGCCCTGCTGCATTAAATTAAAGAGGGAGAAATATATCTAACATTATTTATCATGTTGCTGTTTTCAAACATTTTCAAGATTAATGGCCTGAAATGAAAAAGGTATTTGGCCATTAGTTTAACAAGCCCATTAGGCTGTCAATACAGGCACAACTTCAAGTTGTCTACTCTCTGCCTAAAGACTAAATGTCAGTAATCCCAGAACTCTGGGAGGCTAAGGCAGGAAGATAGCAAGTTCAAGTCCAGCCTAGGCAACTTAGTGACTCAGTGAGACTCTGTCTCAAAGTTAATTTTTTTTTTAAAGTCTGGGGATGTGGCTCAGTGCAAAGGTCCTGGGTTAATAGGCATTTAAATGGAGCTGCCATGAAAGTAGAGAGAAACAAAAAAGACTAAGTACTAGCAAATTACTAATTACTGCAGCAGGGAAGAAAAATGCACAAGGTCATAAATTATTTACTGATATTGCAACACTAAAGGATGTGTAATACACACACACACACACACACACACACACACACACTCGATTACTGAGATGCCCTGCTTGTAGCCACACATATATATCCTGTGTGATCACAGAGACATTTTCACTCCCAATTCTAGAGAGCAGGGTCACAGTCTTGCCTCCTCTCTAGCAGTGAAACCAAGGTAACAGGGACAATGGAAAGCTCAAATTTCACCTGGTCTTGTTACAAAGACCTGTGCTACCACAGTATTTTGCCTCCCCACTCTCACACAAAAAGAAATTTACTGAATGACTCCATGAACTCTTAACAGTCTAGGGAGTACTTTATCTTGGACATATGCGGACCCACCCAGTAATCTAAGCAGATTTCCCATATTTAGTCTTAGCATTTAGGTCAAAGCCCACCTAGGAGATCCTAGCTCACCGAGGGAAGCCAGCTGCTTGGTCCAGAAGTTAGGCTCCCAGGTGAATCTGATATTCCAAGGAGAGCCAGGATCTGTGTTACAACTTGTCTCCAGCAATCGTTGCATCTGAAACACAATCTGACAACAGCACCAAAGTCATTTATTTGGGCTTCATGTGTTTAAATGACAACTTCTCTCCTTCGCTCTACGGAAGGTTAAAGAGCTCAAAGTCTTGGCGCTTTAGCCTCTGGCCATCCCCCACATTCTCATCTCCTTGCACGTTAGTACCTTCCCATCCTCCTAGCTGTTCCCCTTCCTCACTGAATTCTTCAAGCCCTACACCACCAGTGCACAGGGTCTTCTCAGCTTCTCATCGTTCTTAGTAGTATCACTTATACCCCATTTCCCGGTGCATCACCAATTCCTAAATCCAGCCATCCAAAGCCATGTTATCTAGGGCCACATAAGTGATCATTAATTTCAGGGGCACCCTAGAAAGGCTTTTTCTCGTCATTCCCTTTTCTGTCACCTTCCTCTTCCACTGTCCTCGGTGATATTTCAATTCTTCACTCAATGTGTAACTCTATTATTACCACCTTCTGCTTCACAGGGAAAAAAAAAGAGACCACAGAAACCAAATGCCCCCAATTTGCATCCCTCCTACCTCCAAACCAAACTACATTATACTGGTCCCTTCCTGTTCCCCCATCTCAGAGGAAGGGAGTGACCTTGTGTTTGAGATCACCCAGTTCATTCTAGATCCCACCTTCTCCTGCCTTCTCTATGAAAAAATGGCAAATCACTTACTTCCTGCAGAAAAGTAAGTGCAGGAATATAAGAATTTAATGAATGGTCTGGCCATTTTCTAAGTCTGAAAATCTAATTTTTTCCCCAATATGTTCAATATAGATTTAACACTGCAATTAAGGGCACTAATATTACAAAAGTTGATTCTGTGTACTCAAGGAGAAGAAACTGAATGAAGTCCATTTGATTGCAGTTGCTGGACAATTACTGGCAGTAGGCTCTGCCATTCATGTGCTGCTTTATGAAACTGTCCCTCCAAGTCCACCTGCTAGTAAAGGTCCAGAAGTGGCAATTTGTTTTTCTCTTTTTTCCTTTTTCTTTCTCTTTTCTTCCACAGATCGAACATCTAAAATCCCCTGAGATGCAGCCTCCATCGGTCTTCTCTCTGCTGCCTCTGCAAGTTTTGCTCTTTTCCCTTCCGGGCTCAGTAACACCGGTGCAGACTCCGCAGGGCACAGGAAGCACAGCCCCATCCCGGAGGCTCATGCGACCACAGCGCAAGCTTTCCCGCCTTCTCAATATGCCCGCCCCACCACCCCCTGCTCCACTCTCTCTCGTAGGTCTCACCTTCCATATTAATGTGTGCAAATGGCTGTCAAACTTTTTTCTAAACAGTTTTCCTCAGACTGTGTCTCCTTTACAAACTACTTATTTCCCTTCATCGCACTTCTGTCTCTACTTTGTCACTTCCTCAGACTGAAACAACATCTTCAGTCTCCTCATTCTGCCTTCTAACTCTTCTACTCTGCTGGAGCTCCCTTTCCAGACCAACAGGGACTTTCTCGGGTCTCAGGGTTTCTCACCACTATTCATCCTATTTCACTGATGTAGTGTGGGCAACAATGACCACTTAATTGAAACTTGTCAATTTCAGTGTACCACACTCTCCTCTAACTTCTGACTGTGGCTTCTCATTCTTTTTCACTCATCCTCTTCCTCTATGCAGAAAATGATGACATTCTTGGGTTCCAGATTTGCTCTCATCTTCTTCTACACACAGTCCCATAACGATACATCAATATCTCAGTGACTCTCACATCTAGGCCTCCGACCTTGACTTTTCTTCTGATTTCCAAACCTAGCTATCAAAACAATTTTTGAATGTCTCCTTTTGGATGCCTTACAACCTTAAATTTAATATATCCAAATATAAAGCCCACGAACTTCTCTCAAAATTCTTCCTCCTCTGGGCTGGGGATGTGGCTCAGCAGTGCCATGCCTGCTTGGCAACGCAAGGTCCCGAGTTCTATCCCTGGTACCCAAAAAAAAAAAAAAAAAAACTTCCTCTGCCTCCTCCTTTTGGGTATCACCATCCTCCCTAGACCAAACTTCAAAATCTTTAACCCCTCCTTTCCTTTTAGCCACTAGTTAGATCCTAGTAACTTCATATGAGATGTCTGTACACCGCTCAGGTCTAAGATAATATCTAAGTCCATTACCTAAGACCAGGAACTATAGACTTACTTGGCTGAGTCACCTGGAGGAGGGACCGTTTCAGGCTGAGGGGTTGAAGGTTTCTCTTACCAGCTCTTTGCTGAAGAGGAAAGGGACACTGGTTTTGCTGCAGACAGCCCAATTGATGAAATTCTGCACATGCTCAAACTGACGGTTCAGAACCATGATGCTCTGTAACTGCTGTTCCAGCTTCCGTTTTCTCTCATTAGTAATGCCCTGGGTACACAGAGAGAAAACAGAGCCCTGACCTTGTTTTTGGACTTGCATGGGAAGTCTACTGGCCTGTAAATATCAATGTGGACACTGATGGAATGAGATGAGACTGTATTTCCAAGAAGCATACAGCAAGACAGAGTGTTGTCATGACCTGCTGATGGATAAAAGACAGATGAGAAAAACTGCAAGAGACTTTATGGTGCAAATATGGAATAGATGATGAATAAGAAAACACACGAATGTCAACAAGTCTTGGGCACAGTCTACTGAAAAAGGAAACTTGTTTTGTGACTCTTTCTTCCAAGACCATACTCCAGCACAGTCAGGGATGCCAGCTACTTAAGAGCCACTGCATTGATAAAGTCTGAACTGGTTTTTCAGCTCTCACTGACCTGCACTCTCACAATTAGGCAGGACATTTTAAAATATAAAGAGCAGAAGAGAGCTATGGAAACTGTGTATTAGATTCCAGCCCAGGCTGTGTAGGCTCTGAGACTAGTTTGATATATGCTTGGTTTCTGACCCAGAAGGAACACAGAACTCCTCCATCAGCCCCATCTGTCCATGTATACCTCCAGCTCCTCTATGAGTCCATTGGCTTGTTTGTTCAACTCATTCATCAGAACCATCTTGGCCATTTTGATCTGGTTTTCCACTTTCCGGTGCTGATGCTTCACTTCAAAAATCCTATAAATGCAATGGGACACAATACATTGAGCCCTTCCCTCCGGACCCACGAGAGATGGTAAACATAAAAGCCAAGAGCTTAGAGGCTGTGGAGATCAGAATCCAGGAGGTACCAAACACAAAGAGAACTTCTTCCACCACTTCCCCTTGTACAACCCAGCCCACTAGACCTAAGTGGAACAACAGCCCACAGTTCATCTTGGATTTCTTTAGGTAAACTTCAAATCTATACCCAGGTCAGGTCAACAACTCACCACCTCACAAAGCACTAGAGTGAATATGGTTATGATTTCATATCAATGACTGTCTTCAAAATGAGGATGCTCCAAGAAACAGTGCCATGAGATCTTTCTTAAAATACCACAGGTAGAGAGAGAAGGTAGACTCATGATTTCTTAGGACTGGGGGTGATAAGAAGTGGTGGGGAATAACTAATAATATGTATAAGTAACTAATAATGTATATAAGATTTCTTTTGTGGATGATGAAGATATTCTAAAAGTACAATGTAATTATGTACAATTGCACAATTCTGTGAAATACCAAAAACCAATGGATTGTACATTTCTAAAAGGTTGATTTTATAGTATATAAATTACGCCTCAATAAAACTATTTTAAAAAGAAAAGGTATGGTCTTTGAAGTCACCACAGAACTAGTTTCTTCCAAAAACCCAACTCGGTCACTGGTTAGCTACAGTGATCTCAGATAAGTCACCTAACCTCTCTGAACCTCAGTCTCCTTATCAATAAAATGGAGATGATCCCTAACTAAATGAAGTATAAGGATTGAACAAAGTACATATGATGCTCAAACCCAATGCCTACCGTGTGGTGAGCTTTCACTTCCTACTAATTCTTCTTCCTATGTAAAATACCAGTGATTTCATGTCATTTGTATATTTATATAGAAAACACTGGAAAAGGGGTGATATAGGGCAGATGACCACTGTCTTGTTACAGCCTTGTACTCTTTCTCCCCCAGTATCTACTGTGTGCATTTGTTCTCAAGCACCTACCTCTTGCTGGTTCATAATGCATATGCTTTGGCCTAGACTCACTCTGCTTATCTGGAACTAGCTTGGCTGTGGTCACCAAGTGATATGACCCAAGGCCAGGACATATGCCTTCAAGGACAAATGCCCACATCTGCTTAACCACATGTCCTCTGCATAAGGCACTACATCTGATGGCCTGGCACAGGGACCCAGGATGTGAAGGAACAGAACATGCCCAGCACTGGCAAGAAACTAGCCTGTGCTACCTGTCCTCAATTTGCTTTGCAGATGTCTGTAGACTGGATTTCTTATGTGCCACCTGCGTAGTCACACTTTCTAAAAGCATCCTCTGGTTTTGTAGAACTTCTTCAACGTGTCTGCACCTAGGGGAGGAAACAAAGAAAATGCTGAGGAGAGCTGACTCCTGTTCTGAATATGCCAGCCACAAAGGAATCCCCAACAGTGCACTGTTTCAGCCAGGCCCATAGAGATCACCACTACTCTCAAATCCACTGCAGGACCTTGGCTCATCAGGCCTTTTCCAGAGAAACCCCACAAGAGCAAAGAAAAAACTTCAGAGCCAGGGATTTAGTTCAGTGGCACCACAGCTGCCTCGCTAGCATAAGGTTCTGAGTTGGACACCCAGTATTAGGAGGAGAAAAAAAAAAAAACTTCAGTCCAGAGGCTAAAGGGTGTTCTGGGCAGGGAGAGGATTTTGATGCTTTGAAAACCCAGCACTCCCTCCAAGACCCCTTCAGGCAACCCCACCAGCCCCACCTGTGTTCTTTGTGTTCCACCATCAGGCAGCTATGGCACGTGAGTACATCGCATGTCTCACAGAACAGCTTAAGCACCTCCTGTGTATGCCGAGGACAGTACAAGGCAAAGTCTCCAGAACCGCCATTCACTCCTGCCACAGAAGACAGAGAAAGTGGGCTCATCCTGCTTTGAGTAGACCTCTCATTTAAGTCCTATGCAGCAGTCCGTAGCCCCCAAAGCACAAGGCAGAGAAGCAGAGCTTGGGGGAGGTACTGCAAATAGCAGATGCCTCTCTCTGGGACAGTGAGGTTTCAGGAGCCCTGGGAGGAAGTCAAGCACAGCCTGGCTGGATTTTCTCAGCTGTCCAGAAATAGCACCCCGAGCGCACCACCATCTGCCACAGGCCAAGGAAGGTGCTGGCTACTGCTGCTCATGGGTCTCCTGCAGAATAATAAAACCTCCCACGTTAACCTAAACCTCCTCATTAATCAGGATTCTGTAATCGTGGGGTTTGAAACCAGCTTCTCAGCCTTGTCAGGCTCCAGGCTAGAAAACACAGATCATGAACTCTGGTTCCTATGGGTCCTCAAGTGGAAAGCCCCTCCTACAATTCAAGGGCCTTAGGAAAAAACTTTCCAGAAGACTGTAATTTAAATTGTATGGCGCTGGATGGACACAAGGACAAGCCCTGATCCAGACTAAGTTAATCAAGTCCCTAAACAGAAGCCTGGCAGACTGCTCTGAACAGAGGTGGTAGGCAGAAGAAACTCAGTTAGCGTCCATGATGATTCCAGATTCTACTTCCTGCACCAACTCACCCACACCAACCCACCCCCAGCCTAACAAGCAGAGACTACAGTGAATCACCCCTGTGACTGTGAAGAAGACTTCCTTCCTTCGGGAAAGGCTCAGAAATCATACTTCCCTTCTCCCTAAGTTGGGAGACAAGGACAGAGAGCTACTCTCCAGGGAATTTAGGATTCAGCACCGTGTTAGGGTATGGGAGCAGCTGGGGAGAGGGGAGCCATACCTGGAGATCCCTTCTGGGAGCGGGGAAACAGCGAGCCCCCTGGGGCAGGGCCATGACGGTGCTCCTCTGTGCAGGAGCTGCACAGCCAGCGATTGCAGTAGGTGCAGAGGATGTGTGCTGCCCTCTTCTCCTTGCACTCAGAGCAGTTCTAGAAGCAGAGTTTGCAGTTACTAACTGTGACCTCTTTTGGGCCTGCCTACAAATGCTTCAGGGACTGCGGTCCTGCAGGGCTGTTCCTTTACTACTGTAGAGCATTGCCCACTGGACAACAGCCTGCAGTGCTTGTGAGGGAGAGCACCCTTTGGGATGGAAAGAGCAGTGGCACCCCAGATGCTGTTCACAGAAGTCCTGTGCAGAAGCTGAGGATACCCAGATGAGTTAACCAAGGGTTTGCCCTTAAGGTATGCACAGCCTGGGCAGGGTGGTACCCATTAAATAAGTAATGCTGTGAACAAAATGATAAGGCAACTGCTAAGGAAGCAAAGGGAGGTTTCCAGGAACTCACTCTAGTAGTCGGGAAAGTTTTCATCGGGAGGAGCACTTGATTTGGATAGTGAACAAGTAGGTTCACCAGGGATGGAAGAAAAAGTAGTTATAGAGGGAAAGCACAGGCAAAAACAGAGTATTTGATAGGCCAACAGAGGGGAGAAAGCCCCAGATGTAGGAGCATACAAAAAGATGACCATATATAGTGAAGGAAGAGAAAGCCTACATTTTCTTTAAGACCTGTTTGTACACCTGGGGTCTGCTTGGCCTGACAGTGCCTAATTCTCTGCAAGTCAAACAAGTGTTTGTCCATTTGGTCAGCAAACATCTTGCCAGAGCTGATGTAAAGCATCGTTCTGAGCATACTGGGAAAGTTGGACCTCTCCCTGTTTGAATCATACAGGCCACCAAACTGATGTGGATTCTGAAAGTTTTGCTAATTAGACTATTAATTCCTTACACAAATACATGGATTTATCTCCTTGCTACCAAGCAGGGTCTGGCACATAATAAATGTTCAATAAGAATAAGATAAAAGAACCAAGTAAGTAAATAAGTGAATAAATAAAATGTTCAATAAGTGATATGAAATTTAGAAACTCAGAGAAATGTTTAGTTCTTAAATTAATTTAACAATTAAAGAGCCCATTAAATCTAGACTGGTGTGGGAACTTTTACTCCAGGGAGAAAAAAGAAAATAAAAGCAGAGTGCTGATACTTTTCAGTAAGAGGTAGGAGAGAAAAATATTTGTTTAAATTAAACAATACTGGGCCAGCGATTTAACGCAGTGGTTCTGCCACCTACCTTGTAAGCACAAGGGCCTGAGTTCAATCCCTGGTACCAAAAAATAAAAATAAAATAAATTAAACAGTACTTAATGTACCTTAAGATACATCCAACTTCCACTCAAAGAACTGACACTAGGTGCGGCAGGCACATCTGTAATCTAAGCCCTGTTGGAGGCTGAGGCAGGAGAATTACAAGTTTAAGTCCAGCCTGGGAAGTAAACTTACTAAGACCCAGTCTCAAAAATAAAAAATTTAAAAAGAGTGTAAGAGGCATAGCAAAGTGTGAAAGTTGTGTGTTCAATCACCAGTACAGCCAAAACAAAAACACAAAACAAAAAAGTAAACACTAAAAAAAAAAAGCCTATATATTTTTAATTTAATAGAAAACTCCTATTTTGCTTCTCCCAAATAAAACATTTTTAATCCCATCTAGGTAGAAAGATGGGTTAATGATTATGAAAATTGATGAAGGAATAGTAGGTCAGATATAGTGATAGGTAGATAGACTTAAACCAGATAAATCACAAGTTCCTGAAAAGGATCAGCTGCTTATTTCTCTGTCCTGACTTACCCTGGCCATTTTGAGTTGCTCAGGAGGAAAGCACTGTAGAAAAAGATGTTCAGTTACATCCCTGGTAAGATATACTCCGTTACACCCAGGACAGGAGATGAGCTCTGCAGGGAAAGGAAGACAACAGTCAGGGTGACATAGCAGATTATACAGAAGGCCCAGACAGAGGCTTTCTAATACACAACACCAAGATATGTGGCAATATCCAAAATGAGCCATGTTTGATGCCACAGCCTGCAGTCAGCATGTAGATACTCTGAACATGACTGTCCCATCACAGGCCTGCCCTACAGTCCATCTGGTCTCCTCAAATCCCTGTCACTACCCAGTCCTACTGTCCTCCCTACCCATAAGCCATACTACTTACCCTGTTCTACTTCTGACAGTCAGGTACTTCTATACTGCTTCCATTTCTCACTCTATGCCCCTGAGTGCTCAGCTCCCATCCCAGCAAGTTCCAGAGAGTTAGGTTAGCCCACAGTATGGCTCCAGTCCTAAGAGTCACCACAAAGCAAGATTACTTTAGAGATCTCAAAGCTACAGCTTCTAGGAACCTCTGGCGCCAGAGAAGACAAAGCCTCCTTGCCTGCTCATGTCAGAGGTGTGTTTTTCTCAGTATAGCCAATACCAGCTTGCTCAGAGGTTCAGAGGTCTTTTGCTGGGCTACATCTACCTAGTCCATGTTGGGAACACCACATATGTACATCAGCTGCAAACAGCTTGATTTACTCCCTTCTTCTGGAGAAGTACAACATTCTTTTAACACATTCCACGGCACGGTGGGCTTCTGAACTGTGGTGTGACCCTGTCACCCTGGAGACTACAGTGATTCACACTACGAGCGGGGAACAAGGAGATGAACCTCTGCAGTAGGACAGTACCTGTGTCCATGGGTGAGCAAGGCTTGCAAGGGGCTGACTGTGGCAGTGATTATAGCAAAACCACCAGTCTTACGTTCTTCAGCTCATCCACATCAACAGAAATGATACAAAGCCAATTGCCATAAACATGCACTTCGACAAATTTAAATCCAAACGCAAGGTTTACCACCCAATGACCTTGGGCAAGTCACTTAATCTCACTTAACTCCCCTGTGCTTTTTTCATCATATGTAAAACAGAAAGTGAAAATAAGTGTTCCTGTAAAAATTAAATTAGATAATACTTGAGAAAACACATAGTCCTCCATAAACGCTGACTTTAAATTTAAAAGATTCTATATATCTCATTCATGGTAAGGTAATAACCTTAATTAGAAAACTCTCTCTCATGATCAAAGTTAGTAGAGTGGTAGATTGAAAAACTGGCTGCAAATTCTTCCCTTCCCTGCATTCATTTTGTCCACAATGCTACCCTAAAAATGTAGGACCCTCTACCTTGTATATCTAGGTTATCCTCATGACTCACTTTGGCTAACAGAATACAACAAAAGTGACAATAAACAGATCCAAGCCTAGCCCTAAGAGGCTTTATATGACACTCTTTTTGCTCTTAGAACTAATTCTAAAACACCATTGTGAAAAATCTACCCTGGGGGATTTAGATTGCTGGAAGACGAGAGATCATGCAGTGAGAGGCCTCAACTGTCTCCGACATCTTCCCTCAGGCCACCCTGAACCATCTTGCTCCAAGTGACAAACTCAGCCGCATTAGCCAAGCCTATCCCAGCCCAGGAAAACCACCCAGACACAGCCAGGTGTGGTAGCACAAACCTATGTAATGCCAGCACTCTGCGAGGCTGAGGCAAGAGGATTTCAGTTCCAGGCCCCAGCATGAGCAACCCAGCAAGACTCTGATTCAGGAAAGTGGAGAGTGGGATGGGGATGTAGCTCAGTGTGAAGGCCCCGGATTCAATCCCCAAAGAACAATGGAAAGAATCCTAGCTTAGACTGTCAATCTGTAGAATCATAAACTAAATCAAGTTTAGTTGTTTTAATAGGGTCACTTATTACGCAGCAAAAGCTAATCGTTACAAAATCAAAATCCACAAATTGTATAAAATAACAGTTTGATACTCCCACCTCCCCCCAAAAAGCAAAATTCCTCCAGTCTTTGCAGAGCCATAGACTTTGATGACAGACCGCATCTGGTCTCTCCTGAATGCTTTCCTGTCAGTCAAGAACAGTGGCCAGAGGTAGAGAAGGATGCTCTCCACAGGTGACATCATCCAGCACCATCAAGTGACTGCCCCTCCCTTCCACTTGGCTCACCAGGGAAGACCCTTCTCACCTACCTCCAGGGCAGAAAAGCCACTCTAGCTGACAGCAGTGATTTCCACTGGCCTTCTAACTCCTACCAGATGCCCAAGCATTAATCATTGTAACAAACCTCATTAACAGACTGAAAAGGGAATAATTGAATCCATCAGACAAGGCCTCCTCACACATCCTCTTCCTCTCCTGGCCTTAAAGCCAAAATCCACAGTTTGGCATTCAGGGCCCTCTGGTCTCGTTTCTAGCTTGACCTATTTTTGCCAGCCAAAATTCTTGCTATTTCCTGAACAGACCAAACCTTTGTATGACTCTTTAAAGATGCTGTTCCCTCTTTCTGAATTACTTTCTTGCTTTACAGATAAACTATTCATTCTTTCAAACACATTGAAATGTTCCACCTTTGAGAAGCAAGGTTGATTTCCCCCAGGATGAGTTAATTAGTCCCTCTTCAAGCTGCCCACATCACCTTGAACATCCTTCTATGTAACAAATGTCACACTGCACTTTAACTCGTTTTATATGTCTACGTACAAAAATAATCCACAATTGGCATTCAAGGATATTGCCTGATTTTTTTAGCAGATTGGACAATTATATTTCTTTTGTGTTGGTGTATCCCATGTGTATTCCTTGCATTCAGAGCCACTGCTAGTAGTAAGAAGCCATCTGGACGTTTTCTGGGTAACAAGAAAAAGCCAGCCTAGGATTAAAAAAAAAACAAAACAGAGATGTAGTGCTTGGGAAAGGCTGTGAGAAATGAACTCCAGGCCCCGGGTTGGCACCATCTATGTAACCCTGGGTGATCACCTCATTTCTCTAAACCTCACTTTCTACATTTTAAAAATGAGGGGAATAGGAATAACAAGGAAATTTGGATTTTTCGACTCTTTTCCTCTCCCTACTGCAGCCAAGATGGGAAGAGACAGACCTGGCTGTCATCTTTGTCAGAAAGTCAGGGGATGGGCCACGATTTCAGCTCAGTGGCACAGAGCCTGCCTCGTAAGCACAAGGTCCTGAGTTTGATCCCCGGGACCAAAAAGAACAAAAAAAGATAGTCAGGGGACAGCCAGGCTGGTGTAAGAGATCACCCCTCCCTCTGGACTACTGCAGCAGAGGAGAGATAGTCATTTTGCCAAATATGTACTTTTAATATTTATTATTTTGTTTAGTTATAATATTTACTATTAATTTAGGTAAATCACGTCATGCATAAAGTATCATTTATATATGGTGCTTATTTCTATTTGGATTATTTTACAGGCCTGAGTTTTACTTCATGCACAGGAGCATCAATCCTAAGAAATAAGGAACCAAGAGCCCAGGGCCCCCTGATTTTCCTCAGAGGAGGTGTAGCTTCTGTTTCCAGAATGGGGAAGTCACAGGTACCAAACATCCTCCTAGGACCCTAAAAGCCTGGGAGAATAGTTCTAAAAGCAAAGGTCATTCACTCCATCTGTCACGACAGTGAAAACTTCTGGTCTCCAGGAGGTGTGAGACAAATTTACATCTGCTTACCACCACTTTCTGTACCACACTTTCCATGTTATCTCACTTTATGTATATTATCTCATTTAATCATCAAACCATCTCTGTAAAGCATTATCCCCATTTTATTGTTGGACGGACTAAGGCTCCAAGAAGCTGTCCCCTGTCAAAATTCATACAAGGCAAGAATAGAAATATAATTAGAACCCATGCCTCCAAAAGCCATGCCTTCTCCTGTGCTGTACTTCTAATTCACTTGTAAATCCACAAGATAATTTTAACTACATAATTTGATCATAAATAAAATATTCCATAATAATCATATGACTATAATAACGACCTAGACCCAGCTCTGGGCTCTGGGAATCCAGATGGAGCTGGGACCCAGCCACGCTGTATCTACAGTTTTAAGAAATATTATCTTTGAGAAAAGGCAAATGAAATGTAGTTTTTTTCTGCCTACGGGAAATAAATCTGGAGGTTATCTCATGTTATAATGCAGTGGTTCTCAAAATTTGCTACAAAGCTGAATCATGGGGATCTTTTAAATACCCTGATGTTGGGCTGAGATGTAGCTCAGTGGTAAAGTGGAGAGTGATTACCTAGTATGCACAAGGTGCCAGGTTCCAGTTTCAGTGCCATGAAAACAAAATTCCTGATGGCTGGTCTACATACCATACAAATGGAGTTTCAGGAGGTGGAGTCCAGACATCAGTCATTTTTTTTAATTTCTCAGATTAGAATGTATAGTATAGTATAGTATAACCAAGTCTGATAGTTCCATCCTCTGTGTCATGAAGATGAGAAAGAAAGCTCAGAAAAACTTCAAATGGAGCTATGATGGATTTCCTCCCTCACAGAGAAATGGGCAGATACTCAACAGACACAAGGATGTCCCGAAAACCAGTTACTGTGGGTACTGGCACTGAGTTGAAGGACATGTTCACCTCCCCTCAAAGCTCAGTTACAGCACCCAGGCTTAGAGTGCGGCCTGAGGTTCAGTGCTACAACAACTGCTCCTGGGCCCAAGTGTGTGCCAGGCCCAGGACCTAATCAGGCAGCAAGAAAGTGGGGCCTAGACCAGGCAGTCTACTTTTTAGAGATGAATGCTAGGACCAAAGCAACGTGGGCCTTGGAGGGCCATCATGGACAAAGAGGGAAAAAAATCCCAAAGAGAACACAGAAAGCTGGCATGGGGTCACCTCAGGCCAGCAGGTAAGCATATACACAGCAGGTGCAGAAGCCTGAGCCCAGTGCTAAGCAGCTCTATGGGGGATCGCTCCTTAGCTCTCATCTAAGCCTCCACAAAACTTCATAGTTTGGGCTCAAGATCTACCTTGACAAAGCAATGAGATTCAGTGGAACAGCCCAACACTCCTCGGCCAGGGCTCACACATAGAACCAGAG